AAAAAAAACGAGTAATCAAGAAAGATAAACAGTACTATAATTCGTTATCTGCAAGTATCATGATCCTATATCTAAAGTTTCTTTGTCACTTCCACATATTAAATATTGCTTCCGTTATATAAGGAGGGACCATATATGACGATAACGGAAAGCAAACTTTGAAATGACTTAACGCACGAAAAACTTCAAAAAGATGACCAGACTCATCTCCTTTTCCTTTCTCCCTTGCCTTATCCTAATCTTTTCAAAAAACTTTTTCAGTTAGAATTGGAGTTTGAACTATATAGCTATATAGCAAAGAGACTGATGATGATCTTCATATATATATATATATTCTCTATCTCTTTCTTCAGGCCACAAAATCTGGCAACAATTGAGCAACAAACCTCTTTCTGCTTTGCATGTCCATGTTGTCGTAATTACCAGTACTTTCTGACCCTGTTCCAATACTGTTGTCGAGTCTCGTTCCCGATGGATCGATAATATTCTGGTTAGAGAGAGAGTGGTTTTCGCAGTGTGGAAGACCGAGAGTGAGAGAAACACCATTTCCATGGAACCTCGGAGCTAACTGATGATGATGATGATCCGCCGATAAGTGAAACCTTCCTAAATCGCCAACCGGGTATGCACCGAATCCGACCGTGTTATACTTACGTTGCCTTTGATGATTCATCTGATCTCTACACATGTCCATATTGTCCATTGAGAGAATGCTACTCGGAGAGTTGAGTACTTCCGAAGTAGTAGGAGTAGTGGTACTCCTTTGTTTCTTTGGACTAATTGCTTGAATCTCCGTCGTTCCGAAATGGAAGGATCCGGGCATCGGAGACGTCGACAGTGGAGAATTCGGGAATTCTGTCGCAAAGTTTTGATCGGGTTTTGATGATTGGAAGGCATTCATCATGTCATGAACTTGAGATGTTGATGTTATATTAGCTGATGATGGTTCCTCGTTGGGTTCTGTTTTCTTTGTTTGGCCTGATTGAGAAGTAGAACCGTTATTTCGCTCTTGTTCTTTGGTCTCTTCCATGTACATTTCTTCAACCATTGGCTTCCACAGGCGAACTCGGGCATTTATGAACCAGTTCGAGACCTGTAAATTTCGGAAAACAATCATTTTTGTTTACTTGGGATATATATATTTCATAATTAGACATTAGTGGATATATAATAATCAGAATTATATTCATTCACGTTTCACGAGAGAAAAAAAAATTTTAAAAAGAGAAGATCATCTACGTACTTGGCTTCGAGTAAGCCCAGTTTGTTTAGCAAGTATGACTTTGTCTGCAGTCTTCGGGTAACTAAAATACAACATATGCAAGTAACATTACGGTTAAATACAACATAGCAAAAAACCAACTTATGGTTAAATAAACAAAGTAAATTATGGTAAAAGTATGATTTGCTAACAGAGCTAGCGGTACTGGTGTATACACATTGACCAAGACCTGATAGCACCTTTTGTACCATTTAATAACAAGCTAGTATCAATATTGCTTAAGTCAAAATTAAATTTAATTCGTGATAGAGTGGAACTTGTAATATCATGTAGCTAGCAACAACGTTATACAACATAAAAATACTGCCCTCATTTGATAGTAATAATATTGGTACATTCAATATAATTAGGATTAATTAATGATGAATAATGAGATCACCTTTCATTTCATATAGTATAAGATAACATGCTGATGCCAACCCAGACTCGGGCTGCGAAACACTAAACCAATCTCTATACATACTCATGGTACTTTGACAAGGTTAAATTTCAAAGTATATGCATGGTTCTACGTACATTATTACCATGTGGCAGGCATATGATCAATTGTTTTAAATTGCGATACTATGGCCGTGTTTGGAATTGATCCCCTTTTTGTTTTTTACGTTTTTTGAAAAAAAAATGAAAACGTTTTCAAAACGGCGTTTAGTGCAATAAAGACAAAAAATGAAAATGAAAACAATTTTTTGGTTTAGTGTAAAATGAGATAGAAATGAAAAACGACTTTTAGTCGTTTTTCATTTTTTGTTTTCGTTTTCTCCTCTCTCGAGCAGAGAGAGAGAGGGAGAGAAACATCAATGGTTTTTTTAATACTAAAAATAATCTCTTGATAAAACTATCAAACACATTTTCAAAAATGATTTATGTCTAAGATTGAAAATGTTTTCATTTTCATTTTCATACAAAAAATAAAATTATTTTAGAACGAGTTCCAAACGCTCCCTATTATTTTCGCTAGTCATCTTATAGTTGTTAATTTAAAAAAAAAAAGAAAAAAGATTTACGTACGGGTGAAGGAAGTGCTCAAAGAGCCATGCACGAAGAACCGAAACAGCGCGTTCCGGCAAGCCTCTCTGGGGCCTCCAAGCGTTGTGCTGAATCATTCCGAGCTGCTGCAAAGCCCTTTGCTGCCGAAGGTGGTGGTCGACGTACCTCAATCTCGAACCCTCAATCTTCACTCCCAAGCACTCTTCTTCTCCCAAGCTTTTGCTCGCGGCTTTGATTTGCGAAGAGATCGCGTCTTTTAGGCACCGGAATTGCTTGGATATGGTCTTTAGGCCAAGGGCAGTGTATGATTTGGCTGAGCCAAACCCTGCCGCTTCCTCGAACGTAGATATCACTACTTGCATTTGGTGGTGGTACTGCCTGTACCTTTGCTCTACCTTAATAATAACAAATGAGAAGAAGAAATTAGAAGAGACATATGCATAGATCAGTGTGTGTGTTACATGTAAAAATATAGTGTATGACATTATAATGAATCGGCAGAACCAAAAAAAAAAAAAAAATTATCTATTGCGATTCAATATTATTACACCTTTTTAAAATTATTTTTACACATGTAGCACCCCTTTATTATTACATGTTATAATATACACACACATATACATATATATGTATATATTACACACACACATATAGAAAGTTAGAACTTAGAAATAGGACAGCCTAATTAAGTTTGCATTCGAAAGAGATCAGATATATTGGCTTACGTAAAAATTTATAGTAACATCAGAACAGTTGATTGGTTGCATCGTAATAACCGCGGTAAAACTTCATGCAATTTTATTTTGCCTTTGAATTACAGTTTAAACTTTTTTTTTTTTTTTTAAATTTGTGGGTCTTGGCTTTTTTGTTATATAACCTATTCCGTGGGGAAAAAAATTCCCCAAGCCTCAGCAACAGACACAATGGTCACAAACCCCACCCACTATTGCTTTCCCCAACATATTATTACCTATATTATATTCCTCTTTTTAAAGCAAAGAATAGATAGTAATATTTATCGTGGATACCGGATATAATGAAAAAATGAACCATTTTATACTTCAGTTAACGTGCTCCTTTGTAAAAAAAAAAAATAATAATAATAATAATAATAAAAATAAAACAAAAATAATAATAAAATTGTAGCTCTCTTACTTAATGTAGAATAAAATTTAATGAATTAAAAAATGAAATTAAACTCAACTACACAAATTGGAAAGTCCGATATGACAACCAGAAATTTGATATAATCAAAAATATCGATCGATTAAAAAGTTAACTAGCTAGAAAACAAAAGGGAAAACGAGAAGGAATATGGAATAAATGATGATTACCTCGTCAAGCATTCTAGCAAGCTTTGCCTTTTTCACCTGAAGCTCTTGTCTTTGCGCCGTGGAAAGCTCAGCCCCTTGCTTAGAACAACTACTTTCACCGCCACTATTATAACTACCTCCGATTGCGGCCGCCGGAGTCGATTCTCTATCGATCTTAGCCGTTTTCTCTCTACCGCCGTCGGCCGAGTCGGTGGTGGCCGTCTTCACTCCCTTAGTCGACCCAACATTAACGACTTCATCAAGAAGCTCATGCGCAGCTTTCAAGTATTTAGAGCCCAGGAGCACACTTTGAGCACTATTTCCAATTCCATTTGATACCGCCGACGACATCGAATTCCCCGGAAAAGCTCGAATATCGTCGCAACTCGTCGGTGATATGCCCGGAACAACCTCGTTCTCTCCCGAAAGCGAGGTTGCGTAAGCCGTGCTCGTCTGCTGAGATGATGAAAGGCTCAACGACAGAGCCTGCTGTGTCGGCGACACCGCCTGTCTCCTAAACCCCATCGGGGAAACGACATCGACCGCCACTTGATCTGTCGGCGCCCATAAATTGTAGTGAAGCCGAGGAGGAGGAGCAGCGGCGACGCCAGAGATGCCATGGAAGGGTGGAATTTCGCCGTGATGGTCGGGCAAATTGTTGGATCCGGGGCCACTCGAGAGGACGGGGATGCCCGCCAAGTGTCGGCCCGGGTGGGTCGGGGCGGAGACGGCGGCGGCGGGGTTGAGGAGGAACATGCTGGCGACTGCAGCAGGTGGTGATTGTTGTTCTTGTTGGGTGTCAGAGTAGGTGGGTACGTAGTTATTTGGGTTCATGAGATAAAGTGTGTGCGTCAGGCCATCAGGGGTTTGGATTTCTGAACTCCCATGATGAAAGTACGTCGCCATGATTGATGATGATGATCTCTTCCTCTCTGAAACAATAAAGTCCCTCAGATAAAAACAGCTTTATCTAATTTCAGTCTCTGTATTATTGTACGGAGAACACCATTTTTTCCTTTGGTTCTGCAAATTCTCTCTCTCTCTCTCTGTTTTTTTTCCCTCTCAAGTACAAAAGTCTTCGATCAATCAAGACCCCCAATATTTTTGACTGCTTAATATTTTATTTTTTTTTCAACATTTTGCTGATCAGCAGTACTTCAACTAATATATACCTCTGAAGATCCTGAACAAGAAAAACAAAGAAAAATCAGAGAATTGAAAAGAGAGTAATTTATGATCTGATCAGCAAAATTCATATGAATCAAAACATGAAGAGCTAACCAGAGGAGATCGATCAGCAGAAGAGTAAGCTAGAAGTGTGTGGATCTGTTAGTTGTGAAAAATATATATACTTTATATAAGATGAAGAGAAATAGAGAATAATGAATATCCACAATTTTCAAAGAATTAGATCATGACAGAAGTAGAAAGAGGGACACAAGAGATCACACAAAAAACTTGGAAACAAAAGAAATAATAAAAAAATAAGAAAATAGCTTTCTAGTAGATCTCGACTTGCAGAGAGAAACTGTACCAATTAAAAATATTTGAATTACCCAAAAGAAGCAGGGTCAGCTGAACACACTGATGGAGCACATGATGTCAGTCAATCTAAATATATACATACATATATATATATATATATATAACTGTCTATAATCGGATGAGTTTAAATCTCTTTTAGGCCTTTGGGATCAGAGGAAGATTGATGGCTCTTGTCAGACTCAATCTCTGCAAAAACTCACCTAATGAAAATGATAATATATATGCACAAAAATATATAATAATATAAAAGAAAGATGGGCTTTAATAATTAATTACACAGCCTCACAATAAAAGAAGGTGCCCTTATCGTGAATTTCTTTCCTTTTTTTTTTTAATGTCATCGAAAAATTTGTAGATATAAAGTATTCAACAGTTTCAAATGATTCTTACGTAAAAACCCTTTTGTTGCCGTGCATATTACTTTCTTAATTGTCATACAATTGAAATCTTCTTTTTTTCTTTTTTAAGAAATAAGAAAAGAATTTAGTAGACTTACTTGTATATATATATATATATATATATGCATATGTATATAAACTTTGTTGCTGAAAACCTATAATATAAATATAAATTATATAGTGGAAAAGAAAAACAGTGAGGAGGTGGGGCAGGATATGTGAACAGTTGAAAAAACGAGGAAACGTCTATTTCCACCACAGAGGGAAGCTCAATAATAGAGTACGAATGAGTAATTAATAAGGTGCTGGGCAAGTCCCCCCTTGGCTTTTTGCAACTTTAAAATATCTCTTTCTCTTTCACTTTCTTTTTTTTTTCTTTTTCGATTTTTTTCTTTTTCGATTTTTATTATTAATTATCGTATGGGTTTCTCCAATTTTTGTGGTTGGAGATGCAAGTGTTGAAGATAAAGCATTTGAACCAGCCGGGGACACGCTTTGGAGCCGAACCACTAATGTCACACGAACCTCTAAGATGAATAAAAACAAATTGAATTGAAATTTCTTATAGTTACGATTCGTTTCGCGGGTTCGAGTTAAAAATTGAATTTATATGAGAAAAATTTTATTAAAAAAGTTGAATTTTAATTCTTGAGAAATCACATGAGCAGAAAAAAAAATGTTTTAGTGTGATTCGAATAGTGTAAAGAATGGGGACTTCTTTTTTTTTTCTTTTTTTTTTTTTTGGACGAGGCTTGTTCATGGGAAAGAACATTTACTGTATATAAATTCGGGGGCTAAATTAATGTAAATGATCATAAATCACATGTAAATCCAATCCATTTTTTTTTATTCCAATCTATAGTTTGCAATTGGCATGGGAGCTTTCTAATTGTATAAAAGTAATATTAATTTTTTTTTACCAATTCTAGAAAATGCTTTTTTTTTCTGAGGATTAGATCATATAGTAACATATAATATTATAATATGAGGCACGAGCAGTATAACTATCCACTAATGCCATAGATATCGGGTTCATTGGAATATAGTTGTGACATGTGTGTGTGTGAGAGAGATAGAGATAGATGATAAAGTTTTTATTAATGATAATTTGGTATAGCTATACATGCATCACGTAGCAGTATCGTTGCCAATAATTGTTCACAACTCTATGCACCAATTAAAGCGGTACTATTAACACCCCAATAAAACGTCACCTACCAATTGAATCGTGAGGAATTATTCAGCACACTGAGTATATCACGTCATATACACCTATTTAATGAGATTATATCATTTGGACATTTTTATTTGTGTCAATTTTTTATAAAACGTCACCTACCAATTGAATCGTGAGGAATTATTCAGCACACTGAGTGTATCACGTCATATACACCTATTTAATGAGATTATATCATTTAGACATTTTTATTTGTGTCAATTTTTTACTTTTATTTTTTTCTTTCTTAATAGATATTTGTATTGAATGATATAATTTCATTAGATAAATATACTACATAAATAATATGACGTGATACAATGTACTGAATAATTCGTCTCGAATCTTTTATCTGAACAGAAATGGTATTGGCCCGATTGTTGACTTGGTTATTACTTGTTCACCAATCACATCTTAGCAGGTGACCAGCAGTTAACTTTCAAATCCCCCTGCCAAACTGTTGTTAATCTTCCTGCTCTCTTTCCAACCATCATCTTTTTGCTTTGCTTTTAATTACAAAAGTTTCCAACAAGTAAAAAAGTAAAACAGGATTAAAAAAAATAAATAAATAAAAAAAAAAGCCAACTAGGACTTTGACAGAACTTAAAAGAAATAACAGTACTTTTTTAATCTCTTGCACTCAGCTCCCTCTAGGCGAAATAAAATCAACTTGGTTTTATTGACTTCGTTCATTTTATTAATTTAAATTTTTAATTTTTATAGTAAAATTTTTTTAAAAAATGTCACATTTAACTTTTTTTGTTACAGTGAAAAACTCTAAAAAAATGTCACATTTTAACTCGAATTGAAAATTTAAATCTGTAAAGTGAACGAAGTCATATTGTTAATTTACTAAAATTACCTTTTTACCGCATGAGGCCTAAGGAGCGTGAGATCTTGCAATCTTTGGTTGACGAATTGCTTCAGAAATAGCTCATTCAAGTGCCTGCACTTCTAGTCCCAAGAAAGATGAGTCGTCGCGGATGTATGTGTTAATAGCCACACCATCAACAAGATTACAATTTAAAGCTGCTTCCTATTCCACACTTGGAAAATTTTGTCTGGTGGGGTCCAAATTGTTTACATAATTTATACAAATATTAGGTTACTTCACTTAACATGTTGACCTTTTTAGATGGAGAATCGAGTATTTAGAAAGTCTTAATTCCGTCACAGTATTAAAGCCTAATTAGTTTAAATGAGCATATCGGTTCATTCAATACAAAATTGGTGACTCTATCTAGAGCACTATCTTGCGGAGAAAGTGTAAAATATGAAATAAACACAAGTCTCATATTGTTTACACACAAAAAGGAAACAAAACTTACAAGGACACTAGATCACTTCACTTTAACTGGTTGATTTTTTATGATGGAAGCCTAAGTCTTCTTACAAATTCCCTAAAATGGAGGGCCTATATGAAAGGAAAGTCACATCATTATGCGACTAATGAATGAGATTCTCAAATTGTTTATTAGTTTATTCGTTGTCGTCTACAATGTTTTGATTTTTAACAGGCCAACCGACGAATATCTCCCACCTACGAGCCATTCTAGACTCTTTGAGAAAATGTGAGTTTCTCTTCGATTTGTACTTTTCCTTGGTTTTTTCATTAGTGCTTCCGATGTGTCCACCGCCGAGAGTAAAGTAGAAGTTGTATAGCAATAGCCAACACCTAATAGCATTCATGAAGTTTGTAGCTTCCGCGGTCTTACAATTTTTTTTTTAGGCAATTCAATTGTTCGAAATTTCAGTTGTTTTGGCCGTGTTTAAAATTAACCCCGTTTTTATTTTTCACTTTTTTCGATAAAGAAAAAATGAAAACGTTTCCGAAACGGCGTTTGTCGCAATAAAGACAAGAAACGGAAATAAAAACAATTTTTTGGTTTAGTGTAAAATGAGAGAGAAATGAAAAACGACTTTTAGTCGTTTTTCATTTTTTGTTTTTGTTTTCTCATCTCTCGAGTAGAGAGAGAAAGAGAGATATTAATGAATTTTTTTACACTGAAAATAATATCTTGATAAAATTACCAAACGCATTTTTAAAAATGATTTATGTCTGAGATTGAAAACGTTTTCATTTTCATAAAAAAATAAAATCATTTTGAAACGAGTTCCAAACGCGCCTTTTATGTCCTCATAGCCGACCGTCTCAAGCGAAAGCATGTTCTCGTGGGGAGCAGAGCAAGTAATCTTTCAGTTGATCAGAGATATATAACATTTGACGTCATGAATTCTCAGCTACCAAATTAATATTTGGTAGCGAAATCGTGACATTTTGAGATTAAATTCGGTAGCATAAACTCGCCAACTTTTTGCTACTAAAATTTGATCTCAAAAAGTTATTTTTTGCGACCAAAAAAAAAAAAAAAAAAAAAATGGTAGCAAATTATTTCTTGTAGTGTACTGAGCTCCTGACAGTTACCAATGGTTTCACCATCCACAATGAGTTTTGTTCAAACGACAACAACTTTGTATTCCTCATTTGTCCCGTCAACTCATTTGTGAAGTGCATGTTATTTTTTCGACCCAAAATATTGTTATTTATAACCTCCTTTACCTATAAGTAAATAAAACAAAAATCAAATACTGAGCATGGAGATCATATACTTGTAAGTAGTTGTATTTCTTTTAAGTACTTGTAGCGGATTTATTCACGCCAAGATCTATGATATCATTTCAGCAAGATTGAATCAACATAAAGTTCATATTGTTGTTAATTCCTGTCCAAATTCTCAGTTTATATCGCAATCTAATCGGGTTAATATACTGCGTAATAGAAGGTTTATCGCGACATGCTATAACCAAATAGGTTATATATATAGGTTAACAATACCATATTACAAAAGCTTTAATTTGTTGATATGTACAACATATTATGGCAACTGCACTATATCATTCTTTGTTTGCGATACATTATCATTGAGAAAATGCAGTGAATATCAGTTTTTGTACATATATATTTGAAGTAAATAGTTTTTTTTTTTCTGAATATATACTGATAAATTATAACATATTCTCGAATTCCATTCTAAATTATAATTCTTTTTCACATTTACCCTTTTCATTTAGGGTTCACATTTTTTTGTCTTTCTCAGAAATACGACAACCAAATATTTAAAATTGCAACAGAATATTTAAAAAACTAGTAAGATTAAATTACAACAAAATATATAAAGAATACATTTGAGAAAATAATATTTGATAAGGCGAGAAAAAAAGAGATCTTTAAATTGGGACATATTCAAGAAAAATTAAATTGGGACATATTCAAGAAGGGTAAAAATGAAAAAAATGTTAAAATTTTGGTGGAGAAAAGTAAAAAAAATAAAAAAAAAATCAACCAAAAGTAAAAAAATAAATAAATAAATAAAGGGAACAAAATGCTCGTTTAAAGCGTTTTCGTCGTCGGGTACCGTAGCGCTACAGTACCATTTTTATTCATGTTATATATGCAAAATATGTATATATTGTGACCAAAATACCCCCGAACGCTTATGGCTGCATCTTTTTCTCTCTCCCCCTCCCACGGCGTAAAGCTTTGTCAGTGGTGGCCGAGCAAGATCCTCACCATTATAGATCCGAGAGAATCATCATGTCCAATGAACAACAACTTTCTGTTGTTGGTGATTTATTTGTGTTTGTCCAGATCATCAACATCTAAACGGGGTGATTCATCTTCAATGAGGTTGTTGCCAATCTCATGATTGATCATGAGATCGC